TTTTGGAAACCTCATTAATTTTTGTAATTTTCCCGATGTACATATATTGTCCCTGTATCGTACATTCAGGGACTTTGGTTAGAAATCAGTGTCAATGACCACATCAAGAAGGCAGTTCAAATGCACTTATTGGCTCGAAACTTTGCCTCCCAACTGACCAAAGAGCATCACACCCGAAACTTCCTCGAAATTTGGTGAAACATTTCGTTACCGTAACTTGTATTATGGTGAAACTAAGGACGGTGACACAGCATCCACTATGTCTTCAACTGGAACATTTTTGTCATTATAGAATATTTCAAAGAATCTCAGATGCCTATCCAGAAAACGAATGCTCCATTTGTAATGAGGAAAGTTTCATTCTAAGAAACTGAGTATTTCCGAACGCTGTGAACCTTGTCGAACATAATTTTCCATTTCAATCTTTAGATTCATGTCTTCTCTCCATGCCATGATTGATGATTTTGCAATTGTAATATATGCACAGTACACAATATGAGGTTTTGCAAGAAGTATAAACCTTTTTAATAAATTACCATTACAGTAAATTTTAAAAATGGTTTAACATTTTGTGAGAATAATAAGATGACATGATCTGGTGAACAACAAGACCATGGCGGCCATGTTGTTGAAGCTATACATATTCAGTAATTTACACATTGTATGCGTCTGTGACACTTTTTAGATATTAACACAGGCTGTTTAGATTGAATACTTACATTTTCGGAATTTTTTCCACTGATATAGAGTCTGGATGTTCTTAAGTAGGCCCATTTTCTCCAACGAAATGAAGGCTACATATGTAGCCATGATATTTGCATTTAAATTTGTCGCATCTGTGGCATGCATGAATCCAACACTCTTGCTTCTCGTTATGGTATCTATCGCCAGGAAAATTCAAGAATACTTCATCTTTTCCTTCACGTTTTAGTCTATCAGGATAATCGCTATTACAGGTACCTTGGGGCACCTCTTAACCACAACGATTTTATATATGTTTTATATAATGCACCAGTCCGTGGTTTGCCCTGGGGGGGGGGAGTATCAGGCATATCCACAGGATTTGACAGCTACCTGCTTCTCCTGGGTCAGGAATTTGACAATAACATGAGCCCGTGGGTCAGGAATTTGAGAAGTTTAATCTCGCATTTTTCATCATGAGGCCTGGGAACAAGTCTAAAAATGTGTGGTCAGCAGCAGTTTTCGCAGGAAATAGCAACATATTTTTCTTTTGTTCATGATTTTTCTGGAGATTTTCCTACATACTTTTCATGTTTTGGTAATAGAAAAATGTTTTAAAAGGTGAGTTAAATATATTAGTTTGTTTTATATTAAAGAACAAGAAGAATAAAAAGAGCATTTTCTTCTACGATATAAAACCAGGGTTAAAACAGTTAAATATAAATATGACTAATTTTATAATTTTTTGTGTATCTGATTGCTATTAAAAAATTTATTTCAGTGTCTATGTATTATTTACCCAGGGACGGGAGTTTAACTTCATCAGGTCACCCCATATTGGGGAAATTGACAAAAAAAATTTGCAAAATGTCGAATCCCGTGTTTGTCTACAAAAGCCAACTAGCCATGTTTGTCTACAAAAACCAATTAGCTAGCATGTGTTTCCACTTACAGAAAAACCGCCAAAGTGGTCTATTGGCAAAATGAACCTTGTATCTATCATTTAATTAATATTTGTCAAATTAAGTTCATTATTTAATTTAGTTCTGGGTTTCTAATATGCAATGTGTGTGGTATACTACATACCCTTAGCACTTTACTGGGAATCTATAAGCTCCAGTTTTGTGGCTTCTGTGATGTAGGAAGTATTATGGTTTATACAACAGCTGGAAAATTTGTTGCACATGCGCCAGGTTTTCATTGAAACTTGAAAATTTCACCAAATAAATAACTAGATGCTCATGGTTGTTGTATATTTGTGAATGCATGTTTAATATTTATAATTTTTTGCTTGAGAGTTGAGACAAGGATAAACTAAAATATACTCTACGCTTCCAGTGTATAGAATATCTCGTTTGAACAGCAATAAAATATTATAATATTGACAAAAACAAGAAGACATTTGACACGCTAAATCTGCAGTGATGCCCGAGGTAAAACCAATCATCGCAAGCTTGACAGTCTTGTAAAACACAAAACAAGTAAAATTTGGGTTCAAACAGAAAGAAGTTGAATGTTAATAGGACTAACATATATTCTATACTAATAAACGGGTGGTTTAAAATGTTTTCAATTGAATTTTCAAAGCTTTTATCTATCAATATGTCGGCTTATGCTGGCTTTTGTTGGCAATTGTGAATCAGCAAAATAACTTCTCCTAAACAGAGTATTTCTACACAAAACTCTCGCTTAGTCTTCTGATGTACTTGTATGTTCGGTTCTACTAATTAAACAAGGAAAATATCCAAGAAACACTGGTAAATTATCGTTGTCAAAAAACATTTCAGTGCCGACCCCAGTAGCAAGGTCATATTCAAGGGCAAGATCAAGTTGTCGATTTCATGACATTTTACAGTAGTTCGAATGTTTTTGAACTCTTGCTTCATACAAGAGCAGTAAATGCATGCATTTCAAAGTGAAATAAGATGCAAAGCGGCAATATTTCAACAAAATTTATTGCTAAATTCTGTTTCCTATGTGCCTTGGGAACAAAAAAAAAATTTGAATTTGGAGGAATAGGCAAATTTGTTGCAATTAGGCCTGGTATTGCACCCTACCTATGTACTGACTGTGCTGCAAAAGTAATCAAATATACTTAACATTCATAGACCTGGAGTGAGGGAGATTCGGCAGAATACCACCCGAAGTGGTGATATTTTTGGGTTAATATTGAAAGGAGGGTTAATATTGTGGATGAAATTCAAAGTAAAGGAGGAACAAACATACAGGAAACAAACATACATTTTCCTTGGCAGATTTACTAATGTAGCAGACAAGCTGGGAGTGACAACTGCCACTGTTTCAAAAGTATGGGAGCAATACTGCATGACAAATGATTTGGCGCTGAAACATGGGGGGGGGGCATAAGTTTGTCAGACAGGGATCTCCAGTTAATTGTAGTGTTGAAAAGAGACAAACCTTCAACAATGTATTCAGAATGTAACATACGGGAGTTAGCACTTCCGGCGGGAAAAACGTGACCTCGAAGAGAACTAGACAGCTGTATTAACTGGGGAGTTTTACTTAGTATAGTTGGGTTTTAAGGTTAAAATACTACATTTGGCGACGAGATAGAATGGCAAATCATGGAAAACTAGAAGAATATGACTCACAAGAGGAATGGAGTCAGTATATTGAGCGGTTGGAATTTTATTTCGAAGCAAATGGCGTGGACGACGAAGATAAACAACGAGCGATATTATTGAGTGTTTGTGGTAGCGAGACATATAAGTTGATTCCAAACTTAATCATGCCGAATAAACCGCCAGAGAAGACGTTTGCAGAGCTAGTAGAACTTGTACAACAACATCAACACCCAAAACCGTCGGCAATAGTGCAACGATTCAAGTTTAATACTCGGTTCAGGAAACCTGGTGAGTCAATTGCTTCATATGTAGCTGAATTAAGAAGTCTTTCAGAACATTGTGATTTCAAGAGTACCTTAGAAGAGATGTTACGTGATCGGTTGGTGTGTGGAATAAATGACGAACAGATTCAGTGTAGATTGTTAGCAGAAAGTTCTCTCGACTTTAAGAAAGCCATGAAAATAGCTACATCAATGGAGACTGCAGTAAAGAATGCACAATATTTGACACATCAGATGGCCAATGCAAAAATAAATACTGAGAAACCTGCAACATTACACCGTGTGGACAACCAAGGACAAGGAAACCAACCATGGTCAAAGCCTGAATGTGGTCAGTGTGGGGGTAAACATGACCCGCAACAATGCAAATTTCGCGATGCTGAGTGTTTCCTGTGCCACAAGAAAGGACACATAGCAAGAAAATGTAGAAGCAACACTAAGGCGACTGGAAAACATCAACGAAATGACAACCCTAACTCGGGCACTAGCAGCAACTATTTAAACATGAAGGATGACGAGATCGAAGAGGAAGACGACAACTATGGGATTTACAGTCTGGGCAAAGGGCAAGCCATATGTTGTATGTCTGAGCCATATGTTGTTGATGTACTGGTGAGCAATGAAAGTCTAAAGATGGAAGTAAATACTGGTGCTGCAGTTAGTGTAATGAATGAGGATACATATACATTATTGAAGAAAAAACACCCAAACCTAGAGCTGAAGGAGTCAAAGGTAAGACTAAATACCTATACGGGAGAGCAAGTTAAAGTGTTGGGTCAGGTGGAGACTTCGGTAAAGTATGAAGATCAAGAAGGCGTATAGCCTTTACTAGTCATAACGGGGAAGGGCCCTAACTTGATTGGCAGAAATTGGCTCCAAAAGATTAAAATAAATTGGAATTTATTTCAGTTAAAAGAGGACAAGAATACCTCAGTCAAAGTTAATAAGTTACTTGAGAAGTATGAGAAAGTGTTTCATGAAGAGTTAGGAACATTTTCTGGTCCCAAAGCCAAAATATATGTGGCTGAGGATGCAAGTCCAAAGTATTACAAGGCAAGACCTGTTCCCTATGCACTGAGGGAAAAAGTAGAAAAGGAGTTAGAAAGATTGCAAGAAGAGGGAACTATAGAGCCTGTCCAGTTTGCAGATTGGGCAGCACCAATTGTACCAATCGTTAAGGATGATAAGTCGATAAGAATTTGTGGGGATTATAAAGTAACTGTCAACCAAGCTGCAAAGTGAGGCAATTACCCGATTCCCAAGGCAGAAGATCTTTTTGCCACTTTAAGTGGTGGAGAGAAATTCACCAAGCTGGATATGAGTCAAGCCTATCAACAAATCTTATTGGAGGATGAATAAAAAATATACTACCATCAACACACACAAAGGACTTTTTCAGTACAATCGATTGCCATATGGAGTGTCCTCGTCCCCTGGGATTTTCCAGCGTACTATGGAAAACCTACTGCAGGGGATTCCCTTTGTGGTTGTGCGAGTGGATGATATTTTGGTCTCTGGTTCGAATGATGAGGAACATTTAGCAAATTTAGAAGAAGTTCTAAAACGGTTGTCAGAGCATGGGTTACGCCTAAAGAAGAAGAAGTGTGCCTTCATGGTGAACGAGGTGGTGTATTTAGGCCAGAAGATAAATAGCCAAGGAATACAACCAGTCCAAGAGAAAGTCAGAGCCATCACCAATGCATCGGCACCGACGAATGTGTCTGAAGTTCGATCATACTTGGGAATGATCAACTATTACCAAAAGTATTTACCAAATTTATCAACGATTCTGGCACCACTGCACAGCCTGTTGGAAAAAGGAAAAAGTTGGAAATGGAGTGAAGAGCACCAAGAGGCATTTAGAAAATCCAAAGAGTTATTGAAGTCCTCACATCTATTGGTGCATTATGACCCGGAGAAGGAGTTAGTACTGGCTTGCGATGCCTCACCATATGGCTTGGGGGCTGTTTTGTCACACCGGATGGAAGACAACACAGAACAACCAATTGCATTTGCCTCGAGATCACTGTCCGCAGCTGAAAAAAACTATTCTCAACTAGCTAGCCATTGTATTTGGTGTCAAGAAATTTCACCAGCACGTGTATGGTCGACATTTCACCATACTGACAGATCACAAACCGCTTGAGCGGGTACTTCATCCGGATAAAATGACACCACCAAGGGCTGCAGCTTGAATTCAGCGGTGGGCCTTAATTTTGTCTGCGTATGACTACGCCATTCAGTACAAAGAAGGAATTCAGAATGCAAATGCTGATGCCCTCAGTAGAGTACCATTGCCAGAAACCCCAGGTTCAACACCAGTTCCTGAAGAAACAATCTTACTCATGGAACTATTGGAGACAACTCCAATAAGAGCAGAGCAAGTGAAGAACTGGACAAAGAGAACTCCTATACTTGCTAGAGTTTTGAAATTTATTAAACAAGGTTGGCCTAGCAAGTGTCCAGATGGGGAGTTTCAACCATATTTTCAACGACGAGACGAGCTGAGTGTTCAAGACGACTGTATACTTTGTGGAAACAGAGTGGTTGTTCCACCCCAAGGAAGAAGGCAAGTGGTTGACGAATTACATGAAACCCACCCAGGAATATGTAAGATGAAAAGTCTAGCAAGAAGCTACGTGTGGTGGCCAAACATGGATAACGATTTGGAAAACAAAGTACGAACGTGCAACAACTGCCAGATAAATAGAAAGAATCCTCCTGAAGCGCCACTGCACCCGTGGGAATGGCCAAGCCGACCATGGGAAAGAATTCATATTGACTATGCTGGTCCATTCTTGGGGAAAATGTTCCTCATCATGGTCAATGCGTACTCAAAATGGCTCGAAGTGCATCCAACGAATGTGGCAACATCGAGAGCAACAATTGAAAAACTTCGATCAACATTTGCAATCCACGCACGGCCTTCTTAAAACAATTGTTAGTGATAACGGTAGTAATTTTTGCAGTGAAGAATTAGAAGAATTTCTGGCGAAAAACAGCATTCATCACAGAAGGACTGCTCCTTATCATCCAGCTTCCAATGGACTTGCAGAACGGGCGGTCCAGACGTTTAAGGAAGGGATGAAGAAGATGTCAAATAAGGAAAGTTTGGAAACCAGAGTGTCTCGGTTTCTCTTCAAATACCGTATCACGCCACACTCAACCACAGGGAGAGCGCCAGCGGAAATGCTTATGAGCAGAAAACCAAGATCTCGCTTCGACATACTACATCCAGATGTAAGACAAACAGAAGAAGCAGAAAGAGTTCAACACTACACGATCAACATGCAGTGGATCGACAATTACGACCAGGTGATTTAGTATATTTGAGAGAATATGGAAAACAACAAAAGTGGTGTCCAGGAGTGATCAATACACAAACCGGGCCATACAGTTTCCTATACCATACAGTTGGAAGACGACCGCAAGGTTCATCGCCATCAAGATCAGGTGATACATAGAGAAACACCCGAAGAAAACGAAAATGACGTCATGGATCCAGATATCAACCAGCAACCCGTTCCAGACAAACAAGTGGTTAGCGAAGAAAATGCAGTTCCAGCAGCCCGAGATCCGCAAAGAGATAGACAGACACCAGACTATTATTTGTGAGTAATTAGATTCATTTTAGAGTATAAAACGCTAAGGGATTATAAACTGTTAGGTTATAGTGTTGACATTATTAGTTTAGATGTTATGTTGCAGGGACTCTGGGTTTAATCCAGAGAAAAAGGAGTGTAACATCTGGGAGTTAGCCCTTCCGGCAGGAAAAACGTGACCTCGAAGAGAACTAGACAGCTGTATTAACTAGGGAGTTTTACTTAGCATAGTTGGGTTTTAAGGTTAAAATACTACACAGAACTCACCCAATGTGTATACAAGTTCGGAGAACTTCCTGAAGGTGCGACATCGACTACCCCCAATTTGCAATGCTGTTTGGAAAAAACTACCGAGTGGTCCATTTTCATTCAATAACATTACTAATGTGCCACAAGAACGTTTCACCATAACCAATATGGCATACACTCAATTTTTTGTAGATTACTTGCATGGCAAGATTTCCCCAACAAAGGCGTTTAGGTTTCGAGTGCAATTTGGATACAACATACACAAGTGAGTTTTCAAAGACCTCAAAGAGTACAAAGGACGAGTGCTATTTGACGCCTTTGGAAAACTCACAAGTGCATGTTTATCCAAATTTCACGAGAAACCATGCTATTACTTATTAATCATTTACATAAAAATGTTCGAGACAATTGCAGTTTTAACTTACGTTTAAGATAGCGAACATTCCACTAGCAAAGTTTTCCCGGCTTTGTTATATCACATTATACAATGCTAACAGCTTCAAAATTTCACTCAGCTGTGTAAGTTTTGTTATTCCCATTTAAGACAAAGGCTTTTCCATTTAAAGAAAAGATAAAAGCCATATTTCTTAAGCGAAGTCAATTTTCACTTTGTGTAGCGTGGTGCCATGTTTTGTTTTGAAGCAATTCGTGACTGTTACTTCTTTTAAACTAATCTGCCTTAAAATGATTGGCTTATTTAATAATCACAGATCAGTTTGCTACAGATTTTTGCACTGTGATTACCAGACTGCTAACTTTGCTAAATGTGCGCCGAAGTTTATTTTCCCGACAAGGAAGGAAATATCAATAAATTATGCACTTACAGGGGGGTATGTACTAACGTACACTTAGCATTTTGGGGGAGTGAATTGTGTTTTGTGTGGTTGGTAACACTGTCGCTGTGGCGGCTGTGCATGTAGTTAGTACGTTTATACAATAGTAAAAATACAATTGATTTGTTTCTTAGAGTTAGTAAGTTAGATACTCTCATTTTGATAGTTATAGACTTATAGTATAATACGGCAGGGAAACACCATGGTGCAAATGACTGATTGTAAAAGTTGTAATAAGGCCTGGTGAGTTTTCTCAATGGTCTATGCATACTCTTCCAACTCAAAATTTATGTTACCCTTATGTCTCCTACGGCTGAATGATAGAAAAGAAACACTGGACTGAGTTTACACGACTTTTAATTCCAGTTCACTTTGATCAACTGGTAAAATATATGATATATGTAGAAAACATAACTATTGAACATAACTATTTCAAAAGACAACTAAATGACATACTTATAAACATAATGTACAGAACAGCATTTAAGTGTTCAAGTTAGTGTTTATCTCTCAGATACTAGAAAAGGGAGTCGATTCTTGCATCCTTGTAGATGGGAATGAAGTGTTTTTTGAGACCTAAAGACTTATCCCCTTCGATGTAGAGTTTTGCCATTCCTGATAGGGCTTTCTCACACTGAATAATTGAAGGCAAACACCAATCCAATTTGGTACGCATTGTTAAGACTTCTTGGCTCTGCCCACCATCTTTTTCTTGAGCATTCATCACTTGGTAGAAAGATTCTGCGATCGTTTCTGTACCAGCTTTCACATAAAATATGTCATAAATTATGCAAAATTCTCTACCGACTGCTTCATAGAAAGTGGGGTTGGTGTACAGCATCTGGATGAGTTGATCTTCTTGCAACACATAACTAGATGATCCACCGGATAAAGTGACTCGAAATTTATCAAGAAGATCAAATCCATCCTTCTCGACAGCAAACTTGGTTACAAATTGACCTCCTGGAATAGGCGTTGAGACCAGTTTCGCACCACATACCTTTTTGAAGCACTTAGAGAAAAAGTGTTCCAACTCTTTCCCCCAAATAACCTCGATGAGGAATGCCTTCAGTTTCCAAAAGATAACATCTACTAAAGACTAGTCAAGCTCCAGATTTTCTTTCTCTATTATTTCTGCAACATGAGGAAGCTTGGAGACAAATGCGATGCATCGTCGAAACTCACCTTGGCCAACTTGCATCAACAAAGATCTCTTGACAGGGATCGACATCTTTTTGCCACAGAGACCAGAGGACAGGATGCCAAAATCGACGCACTTCTGCAAGATATAGAGTAGATCTGGTATTCTGCTTTTGCTTCTTTCTGTGAGTGCCAGTACCATGTGAGATGCCAGCTGTTTTAAATCATCTCGACAATCCATCAGCTCTCTAATAGTCCAATTTGTTTTCTTGTCCAGCTCTTCACTTTCTATCAACCACCCTTGCACCAAATCAATGCTGTTGTACTTAAACTCGGCAATGTCTGCGGCATGCTTGTGCAAATGAGAAGCTGGCAATGATGGTATTTCTCTTGAAACTTGGGTGGCAAACAGATTCATTTGATCTTTCACTTGGGGGATCCAAGTAGCAATCTTCCATCCAGTGCATGACAACATTTGACCGCGAAGCATTATTAGCACTAAAGGCCACAAGAGATCAATGACTCCAAGGAGATCGAATACAAAATCTTGACCAGCAAATTTGTATTCTTTCACCTCTTCATTGTCATGATCTCTGAAGGCGTTGATGTAAGCCTCGATTGATGTCTCCAACTTTAGGAACTGTTTTTAGCTGCTGCTCATTAACCTTTGCTTTGCAAATGAAACCGTTGTCTTAAATGGCAGTTTAAGTTCCTTAGCTGTCTCTTTTGCTACCATGCATCTTGCCACGATTGAACATTGTGTGAAAGAGATTAGTTCTTAATAACAGACGGGAGACAAATTGGTTGTCGTCGTAAAATTTGGAGAAGACTTTATCGAGCCAATGCCCAGGATCCCATTGCAATGGCCACCTAAATTCTTCCTGAAGGGCCAAAGGAATTTCGTTGAACAATGGCTGGTTCATTGAATCAATCCTTTGCACAAATAGTGACCATCCGTGACTTTGCCTTGCATTGCCAAGATTGCACGACCAGTTATTTTGGCATGATTCTGTACATCAGTTAATAGCTTTGATGCCAATTCTGGGCCAGTACCACCAGAACCGTCGGATTTGGTATAAACTCTGCTGGCATTAAGGGCAATGGCTTGCCTCTGTCCTACTACAGGACATATAAGTGTCACTTGGTTTGTTGTTCTATGGTTTGTAGATCTATCGCCAGTGACGTAAAATGGAGAGGCAGTCCGGTGTTAGGCAGAGGAGTCAACATGAATTTGGACACTTCTTTGTCCACATATGTGCAGGCAGCCCTTAGCATGGGCACAAACATGTGACGTGAGTGCCCATAGTCTCCTATACCGCATCCTGCAGCATACAATTGGGCTATGTTGGTTTCATAGTGTTGAGCGGTGGACTTGGTCTTCACAACTGTCATGGCAGCTCGCAACTGGTTTTTAACCACCAAAGTTTCTCTGTTTCTGACAGATTTTCGCAAATGGTGATATTGGGCAGCATATCTCGATGGGTTTTACTTTCCTTTCCACTAATATGCTATATCAGCATTTTTTTGAACCGGTACCACTTGTTACTTTTCCCAGCTGTGTAAGCAGCGTAGTCCTCGCTTTTGAGATGAAGGCCAAAGCAGAGATATCCCTTTGAAGAACTGGATGGAAGGCGCTCACCCTGAACTTTCTTTTGTTGAACTCTTGGGGCATTCAGATATTCAGCACATGCTGTACATCGTAAAATCCACATGTCTGTTGCGTCGTCAAGGACGGAAAAAGACAACTCGTTCATAGCAGAGAGAAATTCAGGTAGGTTTGAAGCTTCATTCCCTGGGAGTTCATCATTGGAAGGCAAGGTTGTGTCTGTCTGCGCTTTAGAACTTGGTTGTCTTGAATATCCTCCAGCAGAAACTAATGTTAAAACTTCGTCAACTTTCTTAATTAGTTCATCTATTCTGGCATCTGCAGTTCCCTCCTCCTTTTGTTTCGATTTAATAAATGAATCTAGGGATGATTGATGAGCAGTGCTTCCTGCATTATCACTGGTCAAGTCGACAATCTCTTCATCTTTGCCTTTGGTGTGCACTTTTGAAGTTTTTAGCTTTATCTTCACAAACCAGTGTACTGTTTGCTTTAACATTGACTTTAAAATTGTCGTTGGCATCTTCTCCTGACTCTGTTTCACTTGTTATTACGATGTTGGAGGTATGGCATTTCGAGCAAAGTGGACGACGGCAAATTGAAATTTTGAAAAATTGAAATTTTTCTTCCAGTAGAAGCTTTTAGAACGTCAAACGCTGGAAGTAAAAAACCCAATACGTCAGAGGCATAGTCATAGATCTAACTAAAGGTTTAATTTACTATTTGTCAAATGCTAGTTATGGTAAACTGATAGAAGGGAAAAAACGGAATTCGAATCTGTATATTTAGTAATAACAGTTTTACAGTATACCTGAAATTCGAGTAACTTTTGGTGTTGATCGATTGGTGCTATATTCAGTATTTTTCGGTATAGGACTAGTAGAAGCTGAAAGAGAATTCAAAGCTTTGTGTTAAACGTTGTGACAATACTGTTGATAGACTTGGTTTGCGGCTTACCAAATACGGAAATTGAAAAAATCTCCGGTTCTGACAAGTCTACTGTAGATATCACAAAAACTCTTACCTTCACTGGGTTTACACTTAAAGCATATCACTGGTTGGCGATATCCTTCATCAGAATTATTTACTGCAGTACCACAGAAAACATGCATGTTATTGTCACATTCGCAACACTTATGCACACCCCCTACATTACCAGTATTGCAGACATAAGGTTGAACTAGAAACAGATCAGAAAAGAATGACAATTAAATTCTAAGACTAAGATCTTTCGTTAAAAACTTAAATAAAGACATATTAATATATATCATTCAAACAATCATTAATAATTCATCTCAGCTTATTGGCAAATCATGTCAACCATAATATGTCACGTGAAGAGATTTGTACCCGATAAAACTCATCTTCATTAGTATTATTTATATAAATGTCCATCCTAATTAGTATTCTTTATATAAAGAATACTAATAATATTCTTTATATAAAGAATACTAATAAGACGGCATATATTGTAGTCGTGTTTAGTTGAAGCTATTCAAAACACTTGTAGTCCTGTTTTATCATATCAACACTGCAAGAGCAGCCAAGCAGAGCAGATGTGCTCCTGAAAATTTTTTTTCTTCTAAAATTTACTCTCACTTTAAAACTTAAAACTTATAATGTCAGTTACATGTAAATCACTCAAGATAGAAACGACTCCCTTAAAGATCAAATCAAAGCTTTGAAAGGAGATTTCCAAAACCTTGAAAAGATTTTACGAGGTTTTAAAATGGCTGCCGATAAGGGCTGCCATTCATGCATCAACAAAGTCGAAATCCAAAAACACTTCGAATTTTACGGCAAGTCATATGACGACCTTAATCACTTCAAAGATGAAGCCAATGCCGAATTGAGGAAGTTGAAATCTCACTTAAATGCAATTGATGAACAAGTAGAAACCATAGCCAATTCGATTGAAGAATCACGACAATACAGCTACAAATACAATCTTAAAATCACTGGCATTCCTCAGCTCAACTCTCGTGAATCTGCCGTTGAAACTACACAGTTATGTATAAATTTGTTCAACAAACTGAGAGTCGACGTACACCAGTATGATATCGATATTGCTCACCGCGTTTCTGTCAGAGGTGCCTCTGCTGGTCCGAAACCAATCATTTGTAAACTTGTAAGAAGGGTTGTTAAAGAACAAATCATGGAAGTACATAAACGTATAACTGATTTTCAAGCTGGTGATATTTGTTCAGAATTAAATGGTTCACTTGAAAATGCTAGAGTCTTTAATCATTTGACACCGAATATTCAACGACTATTGGCTGAAACTAAGGTCTACCAAAGACAACAAAATTACAGGTTCTGTTGGGTAAAAAACTTTGTTGTCCTGCTGCGTGAGAATGAACATTCAGACATAATATGTGTTACTTCCTACAAAGACTTAGAAAAACTGTGTCAAGCTGGAAATATGTTGCTGTCCTCAACTGGCTCAAGCTAAGTAGGGTGTATAAACCACTGATCTAATAGTAGACTGGATAGAGCTTTCTTACCTATCAAAAATGAAGCCAGAATTAATTAACTTCCGGGGACCAAATTCAAAAGAATTAATACTCACGCGAACCCCAGGAATGTCTTTTTTGCATAACTATGTATTCCAATGGTTAGAACTTCAGTCTTTGTTGGATTCTATATCAATTTTAATTCCGTAAATCAATAAGGACGCCCATGAGTTTGTTTTTCCGTCTTTTGGGGTCCCCGGAAGTTAATTAATTCTGGCTTCATTTTTGATAGGTAAGAAAGCTCTATCCAGTCTACTATTAGATCAGTGGTATAAACATGTTTATATTATATACTAGAAATGGCTACAGAAAACTCTCTACTAACGGCTTTCCATTTAATCACTTAGACGATAATTCTTTTAATTTAGCTATTTATGAGTTAGCTCATGGCCCATTGAACTATAATAATGATTTGTTTGAATTGCTTTTGTGTAATCCTATTGACGAATCTCCTATAGCTAGTACATTTCCTTTTAATATTGACCCAGATAGTAATTTATCTTTTAATATGTCTGTCAGTGAATATATGGTAGAGGAAGCGTTTGCTGATAGCACGGCCAAACCGAATATTAATTTTACTTTAATGTATTTAAATGCATGGAGTCTTCTTGGGAATTTTGACAACTTCAAGCACTTGTTGATTAATCTGCGAACATCAGTCTCTGTTATCAGGGTATCAGAAACATGGCTCAATGAGCTAACATGCGATCAAGTAAATATCCCTGAATATAATTTTGTTTCTAATCATCGTAGCTCAAAAATTGGTGGGGGAGTTGGTCTTTATTTGCACAACAATCTCAAATATAAAATGCTTCCTAATGTAATTTTTCAGATCCAGATGTTATAGAATCTTTGTTTATTGAAATTGAAGTGCCTAACAAAAGAAATATTATTGTCGATAATATATACCGGCCCCCGAACCAAAACACTGCATCATTTGTGGACAAATTGAATGAAAATCCTCGGATTAATCTCTAAAGAAAACAAAAAACTTCACTTAATGGGTGACTTCAATTTGAATTTACTTCATTATAGCACTCATTCTCCCACTCAAGAATTTATTGACAGCTTATTTTCATACGGTTTTTACACACTTATTTCTAAACCCACGCGAATTACTTCTCACTTTGCTACTTTGATAGACAACATTTTCACTAATGAACCTGCCACATGCACCCACAGTTGCATTGTACTAAATGATATTTCAGACCATATGCCTGTAGTAGCAAGTTTTATCGATGACTTGCTTCCAGTGTGTCAAGAAAAAGTTGTTAAACGTTCTTTCGATGTAAACAATTTAAATAAATTTCGTGAACTTCTCTCACAAGTTGACTGGAATAGTAAATTAATCCCGACAGATGCCAATGCATCTTACAATGCTTTCACAGATGAATACACCAGACTATTTGAAACCTGTTTCCCTTTAAAAATAACGTGTAAACAATTAGACAGACTAAAAACTCCATGGTTAACAAAAGGATTACGGAAGTCTATCAAGCATAAAAATAGGCTTTATAAAGCATTCATTAAGTCTCCCAGTGCGATACGCAAATCAAAATACAAAAAGTTCAGAAATAAGTTGACACACTTAATTAGGCGTGCAAAAACAACATATAACGATGGAGAATTTGAACGGGCAAAGGACGATTTAAAATCAACATGGAAATTGATAAATGAGATAATAAACAAACGCAAAAGCAAACCTGATATGCCATCAACTTTTAAAATTGATGGTAATTCCGCAACCGATCCTGTCATAATTGCTGAGAAGTTTTGTCAATATTTTTCTAGCATTGGTCCAACCCTTGCTAAAAAGATACCTCCTGTAAATTATTCCTTCACTTCATTTTTATCTGATAACAACAACTCACCTATTACTATCCTGCCTACAAACGAATTTGAACTATACAATATTTGTAGAGCTTTTAAGTCCAAGAAATCTTCTGGCTATGATAATATTCCAATGCACATCATCAAGAAATCATTTGATATAATCTGTCAACCACTGGTAAATTTAATCAATTTATCTTTGGCTACTGGAATATTTCCTGACAAGTTAAAAATTGCTAAAGTTATCCCGATTTATAAAATGGGAGATACCGATTGTTGAGCGAATTATAGACCAATTTCCCTTCTAGCTAAATTTTCTAAATTTTTTGAAAAAGTCCTGTATAATCGTTTACTGGAATTCATTGAAAAACATGATATACTCTACTCTAGTCAGTTTGGATTTCGGGAAAAGCATTCCACGGCTAGATTATAGAATACCCGTCCATTTCTGATACTGTTTATTTTGGGGGGATACGGTGATACGCAGTGAATGAAATGACGTAATTATTCAAGTGTTTGGGTAAATATTAAGTTTCAATGATACGGGATACGGTGATACGCAGTGAAGGAAATTACGTAATTATTCTAATGTTTCGGTATCAAAATAAACGGGGAATCGTTAATCAAATAATTAATCTATATTTTCAATAATAAAGGGTTATAAATATATTGTATTTCTCGTTCTTAATAAACCCCGCACAAAATATTACTCATATTTTATTTCTCGTTCTCAATAAACCCCACACAAAATATTACTCATATATTGTATTTCTCGTTGTCAATAAACCCTGCACAAAATATTACTCATATATTGTATTCCTCACATTCTCAACTAAACCGCACACAAAATATTACTCATATATTGTATTTCTCGTTCTCAATAGACCCCGCACAAAATATTACTAATATATTGTATTTCTCGTTCTCAATATACCCTGCACAAAATATTACTCATATATTGTATTTCTCACGTTCTCAACTAAACCCCCCACAAAATATTACTCATATATTGTAATTCTCGTTCTCAATAAACCCCGCACAAAATATTACTCGTATAGTGTATTTCTCGTTCTCAATAAACCCCGCACAAAATATTACTCATATTGTATTTCTCGTTCTCAATAAACCCAGCACAAAATATTACTCATTAGTATAAATTTTGCATATCAAATGAGCACAATTTTGACCCCTAAACCCGCAAAAAATATTACTCATATGTTGTATTTCTCGTTCTCAATAAACCCCGCACAAAATATTACTCATATGTTGTAGTTCTCGTTCTCAATAAACCCCGCACAAAATATTACTCATATATTGTATTTCTCGTTCTCAATAAACCCAGCACAAAATATTACTCATTGGATAATACACCCCGCACAAAATATTACTCATATATTGTATTTCTCGTTCTCAATAAACCCCGCACAAAATATTACTCGTTAGTATAAATTTTGCATATCAAATGAGTACGATTTGACTGCGTATCCCCGTATCATTGAAAAATAATAGTTACCCATTCTCCTCTTAAACTACTCAAATAATTACGTCATTTTAATGACTGCGTATCCCCGTATCATTGAAAAATAATAGTTATCCATTCTCCTCTTAAACTACTCGAATAATTACGTCATTTTAATGACTGCATATCCCCGTATCATTGAAAAATAATAGTTAACCATTCCCCTTTTAAACTACTCGAATAATTACGTCATTTTAATGACTGCGTATCCCCGTATCATTGAAAAATAATAGTTACCCATTCTCCTCTTAAACTACTCGAATAATTACGTCATTTTAATGCCTGCGTATCCTCCAAAAGCAAACACTATCAAAATTCAAAAGTGGCCGGGTATTCTATAATCGCTCCCATTCCACCTCATTAGCTATTACTCACTTAGTTAATAAAATTACCTCCGCTATCCATCGCAAAGAAATCACAGTTGGTGTATTTCTTGACCTTGCCAAAGCTTTTGACACTATTGATCATGATATCTTGTTAGCCAAATTGGAGCACTATGGTATCTGTGGGCAAGCCCTACAGTGGATCAGTAGTTATTTTTATTGGCGTAACCAATATGTACAATATAAAGAAACTTTCTCATCCTATCAGACAATTAAATGTGGAGTTCCTCAGTGCTCCATTTTAGGTCCCTTACTCTTCCTATTATTATACATTAATGATATTTCAAATGCCTCAAATCTGACAGAGTCCTTGATTTTCGCAGATGACACGAGTGTTTTTTACTCACATTCCGACCCTAACTATTTACAGTATGTAATGAATAATGAATTACATAATTTTGTTCTTTGGCTGAAAAGTAACAAGCTTTCTGTTAACGTGAAAAAAAACAAGCTCTTTATTTTCAAAACTAGTAAGAAAAAGATCAACCATAACGTTCTGCTTCACTATGAAAATGAGATATTACACCAAGTTAACTCTATTAAGTTTTTAGGTGTGTATATTGACCAAAACCTCACCTGGAAAAATCACATTAATCATGTTTCTAAAAAAAATTCAAAATCCATTGGTATTATACACAAGTCTCATTTTTATTTATCTTGTAAAACTAAATTGTCATATTACACACTGGTTTATCCCTTCATTACATATTGCAACATGGTATGGTCGTCCACCTATGTCACAAATTTAAATAGAATATATTACCTACAAAAATGTGCTGTGCGTGCTATTACAAATTCTGATTTCCATGCGCATACAGCACCTCTATTTAGATAGAATATATTACCTACAAAAATGTGCTTTGCGTGCTATTACAAATTCTGATTTCCGTGCGCATACAGCACCTCTATTTATGAAACTAGGCGTAACCACATGTTAAAAAGTGCAACCTGGAGACTTTAGTCACTAATGACAATGCGCCGGCTTGCGCTGGTTAGGCCAGATAGTTGGTGATCATCCTTTACTTTTGCCAAAAGTCAGTTGGTCAGTCGGTTTTTTAAAATTTTTTATACAACGATTTGCGTCAAATAAACATGCACATGACAAGGTACTTTATTTCGTAGCTATATTTGATATATTCAAAATAAAAAACAGTGACAACTTTTCAAGTTTATGCAAAGGAGTGGCGATAATATATGGGCCAATATTGCTCATTATATAATAAAAGTCGGCCCATTTACACTGAATATCCAATTTAGATTAATTTTTTCGAAATATTAACTTGACTAATTGGTCCCCAATTATGTCACTTGCTACAAATTACATAACAAATAGTTACACTTGTGACTATATTCGATGAAGAAGTCATGCAGGACGGACGTACATTTTAATGCTCCGTAAATAATGCCTCCTAAAGCTGCTAAATCAAGTTATTTAACAGCAGACACATTAAGAGAACTTTGGGCTGATGAATTTCTGCCAAGTATTCAAAAGGAATTTAAAGCTGAGATTGACAAAATAAAAGATGAAATTTCCGCCCTAACAGCGAAGTGTATTGAAATCGAAGCCTCGCAAACCTTCCTGTCGAAAGAGTACGACAACTTTACTGACTCTCTTCAAATAACAAAGCGGGATGTCATGGAAATATCAAGTTGTCTGAAAGTTTTGGAAGATAAAATTAAGTCTATAGATGATTTGGTTGATGAGCAAGATGACATACAGCAGTATATTCGTCGCGACTGTGTGGAGATTACCGGCGTCCCAATGCTGCCTGACGATAAGCCGAAGGAAATTGTAAAGGAAATTGGCCAGCTCATGGGAATTGAGATCGCAGATCATCAAATTTCTACCGCACACCGCCTTCCCCCAACTCGTAAGGTAAAGGACAAGCTCATTGTTAAGTTTGTGCATCGGGATACTAAAGACTTGTTCTATAAAAAACGAAGTAAATTGGTTGGCAAGAAGTCAAATGATTTGCCACTGGTTAAGCGTGAGTACGAAAATAACAATCGTGAATTTAATAATATTTATGTAAACGAATCACTAACTGCACGTAGGCGAAAACTGTTTGGACGTGTAAATGAGTTCAAGCGATCAGAGAGATGGAAGCATATCTGGACTATAAATGGAAAAATTATGTTACGGGAAGAGGATGCTTCTCGTGTTTTTAGTTTTGTACATGCCAGGGACTTCGATGCTTTCTTGAACGAATCCTTTTAATAACAATGTGTGCTCTCATGCATATCATGCTTGCGGTTGTTCGCATGCAAATAAATTCTAATTATGCCTTCTAAGTCAACTATGGAAAAAACTAGTGTGTCTATAGGTAATTTACATGCATACACTGAATTAGTTGAATTGCCTTTTTATAATTTAAATAATAAGGAATTTAACTCTTTATTCAATATTGATTATAGGTGTGTGGATTCTAATATTGACTTACATAAATTGTTGCCAAACCCAGATAAATTAGACGAAAGCGATCCGGACCATATGCTAGATAATATTTGCTCTGACTATTATCAGAGTGAAAAAGTTGATAGCATCCTTAAGATAAAAGGTCCTAAATCGCTTTCTTTACTTCATTGTAATATAAGAAGTCTTCCAAAGAATTTAAATTTGTTAAATGACATGATGTATTCGCTTTCGAAAAAACCAGATATTGTAGCAATTACTGAAACTAAATTAAATAATAATACTGTTACAAATATTGATATATCAGGCTATAAATTCTATCATGTTGACTCGATGACTGCGGCAGGTGGAACTGGTATTTATGTTTGCAATAGTTTAAAAGTTATTGAAAGACCAGACATTAAGTTTTCTATGGATCTTGTCGAATCATGCTGGGTAGAAATTGAGCCTGGTTATCAGGAAAAAAACATCATTATAGGGTGCGTATATAGACATCCAAAATCAAATATCGAAATTTTTACAGAGCAACTGAATGAACTGCTTAAGCAATTAAATCAACACAAATATCAATTTTATATATTGGGAGATATAAATATTGATTTCCTTCAATACTTGAACCATCAACCTACTGAAAAATATTTAGATATGTTGTATACTAACAATACCACTCCCCTTATTACTAAACCCACAAGAATAACAAATCACACAAAAACGCTAATTGATCATATTTATACCAATACACTTACTCCTCAAATAACATCGGGAATAGCATTATTTGATATCTCCGATCATCTACCCATATTTTGTATTATAAATACTCCAATTAAACGAAATAAAGAAAAAAAGTTTTATAGAAATTTTGAGCACTTTAATACAGAGTTATATTTAAATGATATGAGACAAATCGATTGGAATGATAAATGTTGTAATTTAAATACTAATTTAAATAAAACCACACAGGATGTAATTAACGTTATAAATGAAGTAACAAACAAACATGCTCCGATAAAAGAGGCATCACAGAGTAAATTGAGACAACTTAATAAACCATGGATCACCTCTGGAATTTTAAAATCGATTAAAACGAAACAAAAAATGTATCGCACTCATTTCTATAGTAATAATGAAGCAAAAATTAAAATGTATAAATCGTATTCTAATAAATAAATAAGTTAAAGAATATACTTAAAAAAGATTATTATTATACCCAATTTGAGAAACACAGAAATAGTTTGAAAAATACCTGGAAGCTTATAGGTACGCTCATACGCCGTAAACAAAAAGGCCAACATCACCCATCACGACTAATTAATAATGGTTCGGAGTTCTCTTCGGAATATGATATAGCAAATCAGTTCAATCAACATTTTATTAATGTAGGTCCAAACCTAGCTAACACAATAACCAATACTAATGAAAATCCAACAAGTTACATTAGCAATTCTCCTGTATCTAGTTTTGTCATGTCACCTATCACACAAACTCAAGTATTAAGTCTGTTTTTAACACTTGACAGTACCAAAGCATCTTTTGATATTCCTAATGCAATGATAAAAAAGATAGCCCCAATAATCTCACCCGTGTTTACAAGTATATATAATGAGTCGATTACTACGGGTATTGTTCCAGACATTCTAAAGATCTCACGAGTTACACCCATATACAAATCTGGTACAATTACAAATCCAAGTAACTATCGACCAATATCAGTCTTGTCAGCTTTTTCAAAAATACTGGAAAGAATTATTTATAATCAACTAGAATTATTTCTTGTTAAAAATGGCATACTCTTTGAATATCAATTTGGATTTAGAAAAGGTTATTCGACAGAACAAGCGATACTTGAAATTACAGATACCTTAAAAACTACAATTGATAAAAAAGAAATAACGTGTGGATTATTCTTGGATTTCTCGAAAGCCTTTGATACTGTCAATCATCAAATTCTCTTATCTAAACTTGACAAATATGGAGTACGTGGGACCCAGTTGGATTGGTTTAAGAGTTATTTAATGAATAGGAAACAGTATGTACGGATTGGTAATTGTGATTCAGAAATGCTTACAATGACTTGTGGAGTTCCTCAAGGTTCAACTCTCGGACCATTATTATTCTTAATTTATATAAATGACATGCCTAATTGTAGTAGCAAACTTTCATTCCGAATATTCGCAGACGACACAAATGTATTTTATTCAAACACAAATATTGAAGAAGTTGAAAACGTTATGAATATAGAAATTGAAAAAATATTTCGTTACTGTGCTACAAATAAGCTTTCAATTAATTTGGAAAAGACAAATTTTATGGTTATCACTAACTCAAAAAAGAAAGCTAGAAATATACGGATTAAAAACATTGTTAAAAGAGACTTTATTAAATATCTTGGTATATATATTGATAATAATCTAAATTGGGAGTATCAGATCAAACACGTAAATAGTAAAATTGCTAAAAACACTGGAATAATGAATAAACTCAGATATTACCTAGATTTGAAAATGCTTAAACATTTATATTACACTCTAATTTACCCATACATTAATTATGGACTGATGAGTTGGGGTAACACCTATGCAACAAAGCTTAATAAAGTACGAACATGTCAAAATAAATGTATAAAGAATATGTTTTTTGCATCCAAAAAAGAAAGTGCAACATTATACATGAATTTACTTTCCATACTAAAGCTAGACAACGCTTTTAAATTGAAAATAGCCACATTTACATACAAAATTATAAACGAAGATAAAAATATCCCTAGGATATTTTCAAATATCATTTCTACTGCATCTACTCAGCACTCTTATTCTACTAGATTTGCTGAAAAACAAAATTTTATTAGGTCGAATGCTCGAACAAATTATGGAATCTTTACTTTCAGATTTATTTCATCAAAAATTTGGGAGACAATTCCTTACCATATAAAAGAGTCAAATTCAGTTTCTGTTTTTAAGAATAGGTATAGTCAATTCCTTATTTATTCCCAAATATAAATACCTACACAGTTCTGTTATGTCGCCGTCATATACTTTTATATAATAATATGATACATATATACAGTGATCAACTCGAAAGCATTCCGCTATTTTGATCACTGTACACGTTTGTTTAATATAGCAGTTTTAATATGTGGGCTTTGATTTTTGTAACTATATAAATTTTCTGTATGTTATTCTTACTTAGTTTAAATACGTGTGAAATAAATGTGATTCTGATTCTGATTCTGCTACAGCGCAAAGTCGCCTTCTATGAATATTTTAGCATGACGTGTCAATAACAGTACCGATTGACAATGAAAATTGACTTTTAAGAAAAAAATGATGAAATTTCTTATAGAAAATAATCTCTAAAACCCTTATGTATATATATTTATATATTTTTTTTTGATAAAATGATTTTTTTTTTGTGTGATATTTAATACTACCATATAAGGCCAGTAGTAAACTAATATTATTATATAATGAGGTGACTTTGACTCATAAGCCCAACGGTTTTTTTGAGGTCACCTCGCCACTATATTTTTCTTGTGTGCAATGTAAATAATTATCGCGTGGCAAATAAATTCAATTCAATAATAATAATAATATGCTTGTGCTGCGCACTCGCATTTTGAAAATTATAAAACACTCCTACGCCGTGTTTTAAATAGTACATAAAAAATATAATAATTTGTGTTGGTTTATAAAATGTAGTGACTATTATAAACTCGAATATAAAAATATATATGTATAGATTAGGTACTCACCTACTTCCATTGCTAGTTAGAAAAAGCAGACCTGCCAACTCTCACTATTCCACCGTGTGTCACACGATTTTTGTACATTTCTCACGGTCTCACGACATGACTCAATTTTCTCACGATTTTAATTCTTTATATCATTTCTTGCAATTTACTTTGTCACCTCTACTTTAGTTTGATACTAAGATTTTATTCAGACAGAAATTACTTGTTTATAAATAACAGTACCGATTGACAATTCGCAACTTAAAGATAAATATTAAAGCCGGGCACATGACTTGCTTTCAAACAACGGACGTTTCTTTGTATACGTCACAACATCCTCATGCACAGCATTTAATCTTTTTGATTATTTAAATCTGTCTTCAAAAACAGTTAGTAGATGCTAAGTTAAACTTCATTTGATGTACAATTTGATGAACAAAAGTTAAATGTACATGTATAAAAATGCATCAGTATCGATGAGTAAATAAAACACTGGACGGCATAACAGCGGCAGAAATACTGCGTGTCATGCGGCCTTCCAAATATGGAAATATGTTCCAAATATGGAATGCAAGCCGAGGTGAATCGATGAATCTTGAGCCGGGACTAATCCGAACTCCTACGCCGTGTTTTAAATAGTACATAAAAAATATAATAATTCGTGTTGGGTTATAAAATGTATTGACTATTATAAACTCGAATATAAAAATATATATGTATAGATTAGGTACTCACCTACTTCCATTGCTAGTTAGAAAAAGCAGACCTGCCAACTCTCACGATTCCACCGTGTGTCACACGATTTTTGTACATTTCTCACGGTCTCACGACATGACTCAATTTTCTCACAATTTTAATTCTTTATTTCATTTCTTGCAATTTACTTTGTCACCTCTACTTTAGTTTGATACTAAGATTTTATTCAGGATTTTTCATTTTCAGTAGTTGAAGTAAAGTTAATTTAGAAATGCCGGAAAAATACGCTAGTTTCGGGCCAGAAGGTGCAGTTAGTGTTTGATAATTTATTTGCAGGCTAATCCATAATTACATAAATTATGGATCACACCGCTCTATTTAAATTCAACATAGTGTCATTGAAGTTCTTATTCAACAGTTTTTCCTACTGTATTCATAAACGTACTGTAAATGTTATATACAGTCAAATTAATTCATTCTCACTACTTTTTGTGGCTAGCCCGTTCGCGGGCTAGACACATTCATATACCTAGATTGCAATGTTTGTCGGATGAGCAGAAACTGTACTCCAGTTGTTCATATAGATCTACGGCTCGTATCAAAGCTCTTTTATGCTTTAAACGTACGTCGCTTCTCAGCCAGATTTTCGGATTTAAAGGTAAGTAAGTTTTTTTGCCTGTGTGCCTCGATTAACCTACTATGCACGTTGGTTTCGGTATTTTAAATAGTTGTCAAGGGGAGAGCTATAAAGAGCTTGCAATATGTCTCGAATATGTCTTGGCAATATGTTAATACACTATGCCACATTGGTTCAATTGTACAATATTTCTTTTACTTTTGTCGTCGCTATTGACGTATTGTCTTTCCCTTTGGCTTTGTGTATAAATATGCACCCAAAATTATTCACTCTACTTTTATACTATGCCACATTGGTTCAATTGTACAATATTTCTTTTACTTTTGTCGTCGCTATTGACGTATTGTCTTTCCCTTTGGCTTTGTGTATAAATATGCACCCAAAATTATTCACTCTACTTTTATAGTACTTTATAGTGCCGTTGTTTTAGTGCCGTTGTTTTAATCTGTGTTAATACAGTTTCGCATTAGTTCAGTGTGCAATATTTCTTTTTGTGCTATTTTTGGTTTGTGTATTTCTGACTTTCTGTATATATAGTAGCAACTTTAGGCATTTTAATAGTTGTCAAGACTCAAGGGAGAGCTTGCATACATTCATACATTCACAAATATGCACCCAAATTCACTCTACTTTAGTACTCTGTTGTTGTATTGACTATTGAGTATTGTATTTGACTATTGTATTTTTATTTCACATCCCTTAAAACCCAAATTCACTCTACTTTAGTACTCTGTTGTTGTATTGTATTGTATTTTTATTTCACATCCCTTAAATGGCATTTTTCTCTATTTTAGTACTCTGTTGTTTTAAACCCAAATTCACTCTACTTTAGTACTCTGTTGTTGTATTGACTATTGAGTATTGTATTTGACTATTGTATTTTTATTTCACATCCCTTAAAACCCAAATTCACTCTACTTTAGTACTCTGTTGTTGTATTGTATTGTATTTTTATTTCACATCTCTTAAAACCCAAATTCACTCTACTTTAGTGTCTGTTGTTGTATTGTGTTGTATTTTTATTTCACATCCCTTAAAAGGCTTTTTTCTCTACTTTAGTACTCTGTTGTTTTAATCTGTGTTACACTATGCCGTAATAATTGCATGCCAGTGTGCAATATTTCTTTTGTGCTATTTTGGTTTGTGTATTTCTGTGTGTCTGTGTCTAATGCCAGATTAATTATTTTACTTGTCATACTTGTCAAAGGAAAAGTTCGGATGTTTAATCAGGGGTGGATTCAGACAGGTTTGACAGGTTTATATAAACCTGTCAGATTTTCCAAAGAAAGAAAATCTATAACCTTCCATGTACATAAAAAAATATTTCATAAACTTGATGTTGTCTAATCTATTACGCCATTTAAATACTCTTATTGAAATTTGATTCTGGATTACAGAGCGTATTTAGACCCACTTACATAATAAGCATTTCATTAATTAAGGACTTATCGCGTTGGTTTCCTCTTACAAAATATTGTAATACTAGACAAATAATCTGCTAATGTATCGTCATGGGTCGTGGACTGAAACATCGCATGAATCACACATAACCGCCCGCAATTATGAGTAAACCGGTGGTCAGAGTTTTCTCAATGAGAGTAAACCGGTCGATACGCCATTCGATTGGCTAAACGGCTGCGCTCTGACGGATGTAAACTGGTCATAAACCTGTGAGTCGAGCAGTATTTTGAGAAAACTGGGAATGAAAGTTAACAGAACTCGAGGACGCGCGAAATATGTTTATAATTTTGCGCGACTGAAAATTGCGTTGGCGAGAGAAGCATTTACATGGATTTCTTGTTCATTTTGAAGGTTTGTTTAAAAGTATATAGTCTAGAGTTATAACTGTAAGCTATTTCTACTTACTGTACAATAAATATCGACCCTTCAACAAGCGTATCGATGTGTATACCATTACGTGTAACTTCTACACAGTCTACACTCACGATAGCGCAAAATATATGTATAATTCAGTATTAATTCTTATAATATTGTGTGACCGAATCATTGCGTTTGCGATAGAGAATTAGGAAATAATTGTAAAGCTTTCGCGCTCTTGCAGTTTGGTTTCGATTTCATTGTTAAAGCGGTTGGTTTGAAAGCGTTATAGATCTAAAATTACTATGTTTATAGACCTTTATATTAAAAGCATCTCTACTTGTAATAAATATCAATGCGTCAGCAATTTGCCAATCCCATATCTTTATCACCAGCTAATAAGTTTCCGAAAAGGTTCAATTCATTGTTTGAGCTGCGTATATTAGTCCAAAACTCTCTTAAAAACATGTATTTTCTAACCATTAAATTAATTTAAAAGGTGACGCCAGAACGCAGGAAATGCTGTTTCAGAGGCCCGTATTTTAAAAATTTCCCGGGGATGCATGCCCCCGGACCCCCCTTGTCGTTGTGTGGACCTAGTAAACCTGTCATCCAAAACGCTGGATCCGCCCCTGTTAATAATGGGTTAAGATTTGCGGTAACAAATGGGTTATTATATTTTGGCAATCTAAGCCCCTAACCGCTAATATTATGTGAAGTGTTTGCCAAAGTACTTATATGTGTATTTTCTCTGTAATTTTTAGATTTTGCAAACTGTTTTATAGTGAAGAGTTGCTGACACTCCGGAACCAACGTGTTTACACTGACCAATATTTGGGTCAGGTGCTTTGCATGTGGGTTTCATGCACTACAAATATATCACAAAGCTATCTTGCTTGTGAAAATCAAACAACACAAAGTCATCGTGCTTGTGAAAATAAAAAATATAAACATTAGAACAATTACAGATACCTTTGCAAGATTAATTAACAATGGGTGTTACTGTTGAGATGTATCGATCAAGGATTGGCTCATATAACAATTTCATGCAAGCTAAAAAGTCTAAGTCTCAACTTACAAGTCAATTTTGGAACCAAATATTGATAATGTTTTATTTGAGTGTATTCTACCTACCTTGCCTGAAAAACCTAGTGACTAAAATTGAGAAAAATAATGAGGTTTGCATGTGGTATGCACAGATGGTATACTATCATGTTTTTCTACCATTATTATTAAGACTTTCAAATGACGTTGAGGAAAATCCTGGTCCTAGAAATATTAATGAAATAGTTGACCGAACTTATACAGTTCATGCAGACTGTCATCAAGGTAATGCATTGATGTTTGGATCCAATGCTGGAAAACAATGTGTTGCCATGTCATTATGTTCTATTGTATACAATGAAATTAAATCGGTTAACATTTGGGACACAATTATGAACCAAATTTTAGATTATGGGAACAATTTATATGGCATGATTACTCGGAGTATAAGTAAAGATTTTTTGTTACTTACCGATGTTCCTGAATTTGTTGACATTGAGGATGACACGTTTTGTCTAGAATATAGTGAATCTTTTTCAGGTGCATTATTCATGTATGTCAATAATGATCCATATGTGACACTTGAGCATGCTTTTAATGAAATATTTTTTACTTCGAGTTATAAAAGTTGTTTACTCACAATCGGCATGAATACTGTTGCAATTTTTATGCCTTTTCCTGATGTGTTTAAAATTTTTGATTCTCACTCACGAGATCTTCATGGGATGCCATATGCATCAGGTTATGCTGTTTTAACTTCAGTTGAGGAAGTTGAAAATGTTGTTGAATATTTTCATTTAATCTCAAACTCTTGTCATCTTAATTTGGGTATACCATTTGAGATAAAGGGTTTTAATTGTAGTATAAGGAATGAGTTGTCAAATAAAAACTCTACAGAATCCTTGCAATTTGCATGTTTTGAACGTGGATCTTCAATTTCCAAACAACATAACACAAACATGATGGCTAGTATTCAAGAAAAAAAGAGAGTTCAAAGAAAGAATGAGTCTTCAGAACAGAGAGAGAAACGATGGGCAAAAGCTAGGGATTACAAAAAAATAAACGAAGATTTGAAAAAAAAATCTGAAAAATTAAAAATCAAAAGACAAAATGAGTCAATAGAAAAAAAGAAAACTAGACTTGCAAAACAACGTGATTACCAGCGAGCTTTAAGACAAAACGAGTCTCCAGAGCAAAGAGAAAAAAGGTTAGCTAAGGCTAGATCTTATAGAAAGTTAGTTAAAGAAACTAAAGGTCTCGATGCAAATATGCCTGTGTCTAAGAATAATCGATACCACAATATCGGTGAGAATATCGAACAGCTAATAAGGAATTTTCATAATTCTGTTTGTACAGGACCCCTATATATATGTACTTGTTGCGATCAGTTGTGGTATAAACACAGTGTCTGTCCTGCTGACCGAATAAGGTTGGTCAACCCAGATATTGCTAAGTATTTACAAAACATTAAAAAGTGTCGATAATATTGAGTGGCTTTGCAATACATGCAGCAATCACCTAAAAAAAAGTAAAGTACCGCCATGTGCAATTGCAAATGGCATAAAGTTTCTTGAAAAACCAGATTTCTTTGACCTTAATGAATTAGAATGTAGACTTATTGCTCCAAGGTTAGCATTCCAAAAGATTTTCCAAGCCCCTAGAGGAGGGCAACTCAAAATTACGGGTAATGTTGTCATTAGGGCCATTTATACGGGACAAAATAAGTTGTGTCTTACATAAGACGCGTCTTATGTAAGCTGAGTTATCGCATAAATGGTTCTCTACGGCTTTATTCTTATTTACTTGCTACAGCTATAATGTTGTTTCGGTTGTTTTTGTTTGAATATGCAAGGATAATAATTTTACGTTGTTTCAAGTTTCGGGCATGTGTAGTTAGAATTTTTGTAAACTGAATTTCTTATTTAAGACGAGACTTAAATAAGAACAGCTAAAAGTCCTGTTCTTATTTAAGTCGCGTCTTATCCAAGACGCGTCTTACATAAGAATTTTGTGCCTTTTATACGACAAACTCGCGTCTTATTTAAGTCGCGTCTTATGTAAGTCGCGTGTTATTTTGTCTCGTATAAATGGCCCTAATGTGCCAGCAGACATTAGCAGTACTGTAAATATGCTTCCCAGATTGTCACATGAAACAGGTACTACAAAAGTTCAATTGAAACGGCGATTACAATATAAAAGTTCAGCACTTTCTTTGAATATAAGACCACACAAAGTAATGCAAGCAGCAGCTTGGTTAGTCAATACTAGTTCTTTATACCAAGAGCAAGGAATAACTCTTGATCCAACCTGGATGACAAGTATTGAAAAAGAAATAGTTTCTGATAATCAGTGCATTAAGAATACAAATATTTCAGGTGATAATTTAGATACTCCAGAAGACGAAGCAGAAATACCAGCAGGTGTAACTGACAGTATGTTAACACCTCCAGATTTTGTCGATGGTCGTGAAAGGCAAGAGATATACAATTTTGCCCCAGGAGAAGGTAATAGACCTCTTAGTATCTTTAGAGATCAGTACTCAGAAGAAATGGCTTACCCAGGGATATTCCTGGGTCAGAAAAGACCAGATGACAAAAATAGATTAAAAAGTGTTTATTATAGTGAAATATGCAAATCAGAATTAAGGCGGTCATATCGACGAGCTGCAATGTGTATAGAAAATTTTTTTTTTAAAGCAAAAAAGTTACAGATGAAGTTATTGTTGGGGCAATTGCAAATTGCATTGCGAAAATGCAAAATAGGAAACAGAACACTTACTGCGGGTCAATTAAAAACACCCGAAGGTTTAGCAAGTTTAATTTGCCATGATGAAGGCTACAAATTCTTAAGAGCATTAAGAGGTTCACCACCTTACTTTGAAAAAGCTAAAAAAGATTTGTTTGCTATGATTTGCCAACTAGGACCAGCCTCACTTTTTTGCAGTTTTTCTTCTGCAGAAACAAAATGGACCCATTTATTGAGGATCCTTGGTAAACTTATTGATCATAAAGACTATAGTGATGATGACCTCGAGAACCTAACATGGGAGGAAAAATGTAGACTAATCCAAAGTGACCCAGTTACGTGTGCTCGACATTTTGACTTTCAATTTAATACTTTCTTGAAAGATTTTTTAATGAGTGAACTTGCTCCATTAGGGAAAATGAAAGATTGTTTTTACAGGGTTGAGTACCAACAACGAGGTTCACCTCACATACTCATGCTAATATGGCTTGAAAATGCACCTGTATTTGGTGTTGATAAAGATGAAGATGTAATTGCATTTATTGATCAAATCATAACTTGTACTAAGCCAGAAAATGATTCAAAGTTACCTGAACTGGTAACCAGGCAAACACATAGGCATTCTCACACATGCCAAAAAAAATCTAAAAACGTTTGTAGATTTAACTATCCTCAACCACCAATGAGGTCTACACACATACTGTATCCACTTGATGACGATACTTCTCAGATTCTCATAAGAAACAGAAAAGTCTTGTGGAAAGACATTAAGAATAAACTAAATGATCTAAAAGAAGGTAAGGATATAACATTTGATCAACTTCTAGAAGAGCTGGGTGTTTCAGAACATGAATACATTCTTGCTATTCGATCATCTCTAGGTTGTCCTACAATATTTCTTAAAAGAAGTCCAAATGAATTAAGAATAAATAATTATAATTCCCCCTGTCTCCTTGCCTGGAGAGCTAATATGGACATCCAGTTTGTTCTAGATGTTTATGCTTGTGCAATGTACATTGTCTCCTATATTTCAAAAGCTCAAAAAGGAATGAGCGAATTGTTATGTAGGGCTTGTACTGAAGCAAAGGATGGTAATTCCAGTATAAAGCAACAGGTTCGTGATATTGGAAACAAGTTTTTAAACTCAGTTGAAATTAGTGCTCAAGAAGCAGTGTATGTTGTACTGCAACTTCCAATGCGAAAGTCTTCTCGAAGTGTGGTGTTCATCAACACATCACCTCCTGCTGAACGAGTTGAATTACTCAAGCCATTAAGTGAAATAGAAAAGATATCAGATGAATCTGAAGAAATTCATTCAGGTGGTTTGTTAAAAAGATATGTCGAACGACCCGACTGTTTGCAAAATATTACCTTAGCTGATTGGGCAGCATGGTATGACTCGTGCGGGAAACAGAATAACAGAAAAGCAAAAAAGGCTGATATTGACAACCTTCCACTAGAACCTGAGGATGGAAATAATGATGATGAATTATTGAATTATGACCATTCCATGACAAGTGACCCATCACTCAAATCAGTGAAGAAAAGATCACAAGCTAGAATCATTCGAAGTGTTTGGTTTAATAAAGACGCTCAACCAGAAAAACATTATCGAGAGTTGATCATGCTGTTTACACCATGGCGGAATGAACATACTGATTTAATGAGAAATTCTTCTTCTTTTCAAGAACACTATCTAGCTCGGTATGATGAGATAGGCGAGCAGATGAGACAATATGCAGTCTGTAGTGAAGACTTAAATGAAATTCAACATCACTTGCAAGAATGTGATGATGATATGTCTGATATGTTTGATACTATAGCACCAGTCAAACAAGACACTGAACGTCAAGATGAGGATGAAGATAATACAGACACACATCCAGATTTGAATGAAACTTATGATCTTTCTGAGGATTTAGGTATCCCATCATCCTTACCAAAAATGAACCACTCATTTTGAATGAAATGCAAGATAACAAATATCGAGGATTAGTTCAAATGCTTAATAAAAAGCAAAGAGAATTTTTTTACCATGCTTCACATTTAATTAAAACTTCTGATAAACAATTTTATGCCTTCTTAAGTGGAGGTGGAGGTGTTGGTAAGTCTCACCTTATTAAATCAATTTATCAAGCAGCGTTAAAATACTATAATGCACAAGCTGGTGAAGATTTTCGTCATGTTCATATACTATTACTTGCTCCCACAGGGACAGCAGCTTATATTATTAAAGGTAACACGATTCATAGTAGCTTAGCAGTTCCAGCAAGTCAATCACTTAAGAATTATAAACCACTTGATTCTGGTAGATTAAACACATTAAGATGTAAACTCGGTGCTTTGAAATTAATACTACTTGATGAAATATCAATGGTTGGAAACAGCATGTTTATAGTTCAGTTGAATAACCGTTTAAAAGATTTAAAAGGAAGTAAAGAAGACTTTGGTGGTGTTAGCATCATAACACTGGGTGACCTATTTCAACTTAAACCTGTCATGGATGGCTACATTTTCACTGATGTTCAGTGTTTAAGCTCTTATAATATTCTTGCTCCAAATTCATGGAAAAGATATTTCAGAATGTTTTTACTTGATGAAATTATGCGACAAAGAGAGAGCAAAGAGTTTGCTGAAATCTTAAATAGATTAAGAGAAGGTAATCATACCTCCAGTGACCTCAACAAACTGAAGGAAAGATGTGTTGAAGAACCTAACTGTCCAAAAGAAGCACCACGTTTGTTTATTCAAAATGCTTTAGTTGATGATTATAATGAAAAAGTATACGATTCTTTTAGTGAAAACAAATATGAAATTAAAGCACAAGATAGTGTTATTGGAGCATGTTCTGCTGAGCTTAAAGAAAAAATAATGAGGCAAATACCTTATGTCCCCTTGAAAAACTCTAAACAGTTAGCTCGTAAACTAAAACTTGCTGTGGGCCAACGAACAGAAATGGCCACAAATGTGCGAACTGATGATGGTCTTACAAATGGTGCTAGTAACATAATAAAGTTCATACAACTAAGAGACGAAAGTAAACCATCTGGTCTTGTTTGGGTCCAGTTTGACCATGAAGATGTTGGCAAAAAAAAACTGACGGGAAAACAGAAATCTTTACTGTAGAGGTATTGAAACTACTTGGACACCAGTAAAACCAGTTACAACACAATTTGCTGTTGGCAGAACTAAATCAGCTCAAGTGGTAAGAAAACAATTTCCATTAAGGCCTGCATCGGCTAAAACTGTACATAGATCGCAAGGTGATACCCAGTCGCAAATAGTTGTCAACTTGAACACTAAAATGACTATTCCTCATATACATTATGTTGCCTTAAGTCGAGTTACAACAATTGAAGGGTTATATATCACTGACCTATGTGAAGATAAGATATCTGTCGATCAAAGAGTTGTAAAAGAAATGGAAATGTTAAGAACAGAACATAGTTTGAAACTTTGTTTCACACCATTGTATATGTTGGATCATTCGGAATTAAAAATTTGCTACCTCAATGCTCGATCTCTCCATAGGCATATCGAAGATGTTCGAAAAGACATCAATTACTCCTCTGCTGACATTTTAATCTTTACCGAGACAAGGTTCAGCCCTTTGGACCCTGATGAAATCTACAGTATTAATGGTTACAGCCTATTTAGAAATGACATTTCTCAATATTCTGGTTCTGGGCGTCCATTTGGTGGAACAGCTATTTATAGTCGAGTTCCATTTGTAGACGGCTATCCCTATGCCCACAACATAAATGGAATTGAGTTTACCATTATTAAAACCATAAGTCACCCAAATTTGACTATAATTGGGTTATATCATTCTCCCAGCATTGCTTTAGGGACCGCTCATTATTTATTGTACAGGGGGGGATTGAGGAGAAACTGGGGGGGCCTTTAAATTTTTCAAAACCTGAAAGGGGGGGCTTTGAAAAAATACAGAGAGACGAAAGAGGGGGGGGGCTTTGAAAATATTTATCAGTTTGAAAAAACAGTAGTTTTAAAAATGTATCACAAAACAACTTAACAACAAATAACAATATTTATAGACTATAATATTCATAAATGGAAGTCAAATAAAAAGTCTCTCGTGTTCATGTAAATAGACAATTCCCATTATAGACTAATTTTAGAACTAGGCAAAGAGATGCAAATCAAGGCCGGATTTTGGTGAAAATAGTGGGGGAGGTGGACAAAAATTTTAGGAGAGGTGCAGCGGTCTAGCTCACAACTCCCATGGAAAGTTAGGGCTTATTGTAGAACAGGCCAATATCAACGAGGTGAGGTATGCATGTAGTGTACATAATATGTACCAGTGTATTAATGAATTATGAATGTATGTCTCCAATCTTGCCCTTCATTACAATTGCTACACTGTTTCTTTCAAAACATTGCATTAAAAGGGTGCTTGACATGGCTATCACTGTTTCAATTTTACAGAGAAAACTTTCTTCCGTCACAAAGTGTAGATCCTAAGCAACCATCACATTTTCACTTTGTTCCATCATTGAAACTTTCCCAAGGGGAAGTGCATGACCTTTCAAGAGAGGTGGAAAAATTCTCAGGGGAGGTGCAAAACGATCTCTGGAGAGGTGCGCACCTCTCCACACCTCCCCTCAAAATCCGGCCTTGATGCAAATAAATCACCACAGCTAGAAAGAGCATACTAAAATAAGTAAATTATTGCAAAGTTTGGTTGCAAATTGTTGCAAAATACGGATAATATAGCCTTGCAAAGTTTGCAAATTTTGTACACTTTTGTATTGCATGCGAAAATTGCAATTATACAAAAGAATACAAAATTTGCAAACTTTGGAAGGCTATATTTTCTACATATTTTACAACATTTTGCAACCAAACTTTGGAATTTTAGTAATTTTAGTATGCCCTTCCCGGGAATATACTTTTTTTGCTAAGATAAAAAATTAGTCTATAATGGGAATGTCTATTGGTCCCCATTACCTATTTTTCTTTCTCTAAAATAAACAGCTAGAGTTTTTGTTTCTCTAAATAAAGATAAAGAGCTAGAGGGGGGGGGGCAAAACTTATGTTCTTGTTTTGCTTGTTGGGGGGGGGGCTTTGAAAATTTTACTTGTCTTAAGAGGGGGGCAACGAAAAAATATTATAACTGTAGAGTTTCTCCTCAGTCCCCCCCTGTACAATAAATAATGAGCGGTCCCTTACGTTCAGGTGAAAAACAAACAGCTCTTACAACGTTGTCTTTAGTCTGGAGATTGCCGTCAAAGTACTGCCACTTTTTGTCACCACCAGTCTTGATTGGGGAAACTGAGTGGACAAAGCAATCAATTTCCTTGGCATTCTTTTTTGGAGAAAGTGGTAAGCATTCTAAGAATTTAATAAGAATATAAGATAAGAATATAATAAAAGAGATTAAACATTAGAATATAGTAGAAAAGGGCACCATAGGCAAAGTTGAAAAAATGAAATTATACAAGTTTTCAATGTTGGTAAATAGATTTATGTGTCAATAAATTCCAAGCCTGCTCATTAAGCCGGTTTTCCACTTCAACCGTATCGTAACGTACTGAAGTATTTTCTTTTGTATCGAAGTCATTAGTTCCACTCTAGTGGTCAGGAAACAAAGAAATATGCTACGCCTCACTACGATACGATTGAAGTGGAAAACCGGCTTTACGCCTTAAATTTCAAGCCTGCTCATTAATCCAAAGCAAAATTGTTGTTGACATGTCAGAAATTTTTGCCCATCTGGTATAACAATTACAACATTGTGCTTTTCTGCCATATTGTAATTTGAAGTGTAATATTGACAAAATGGAATGGCCCTTACACTGAAGGGAGGGGGGGGGGGGCAAATTTCAAACTGGGGGTAGACAGTGAAGGGGCTTGGTTAAAAGAGGATGTTGTCAACTTATAAATGCACTAGTCAATAGACCACTTCCAAATTAGGCTTTACAGGAACACCAGTACTAAGTCCAAGACAAAAACACAGTTTTGCACGGAGCCTTGTTTTCATGACAGTGTCTGTGGTTAATAATTCAGCTTTTCCAGAATGTATTATCCAGTTAAACTTCTTGTGTTCTGATTAGGGGACTCTTTTGTATCCTTGCACAGATCACCAACCTCTATGATTGAGTTTGGCGAAGGGTTTATTATTTTTTTATATACATTTATAATAGTACTGCGAGCATGTATTTCTCGAGGTGTTTCTAGTATTCTGTGAAACTAACCTTCCATTTTGTTGGTGTTTTCCGTCATGACTGTTTATTTATATTCACCTGGTGCACTATTAAAATAAGATGAGAAAAATAAGTTCAAAGCTGATGACTGATAAAAGTACACGTGTGTTTTACTTTATTCCGTTGAGCGTGGTTGTCAAGCTGAACATTGCATCCATCATGAAATGATGAAAATGCAAATGTAAATGCAAATTAATGAAATTATTATGCTTAGAAGTCGAAGAAATACTGCGTTTTGTCGTACTTGTAAGGTCAAAGCGAGAAACGAAAGGATTACAGAGCTATAAAACAGATTGAAACACGGTCCACATACCTTTTTAAAATTTGAACAGAAGACCACGACAGAATAGGACAGTCACGAGTTCCAGCAAAGCTAAAGAAACCGGTAGCTTGTGTACGTCATAGACTCAAGCTCCGGTCGATGGGTACCCGGGACTAGCCCCCCTAGTGACAAAATTTAATTGGTCAGTGGCCATATTTCTTTAGAATTTTTACTATAATACCAGCTATTTGATCATTTTATTTTAATGTATTACAAAAGCATTAGTTCAATTGAATACATACACAGTTATGACAGAAATATGTAAAATATTTAATTTAAAGAAGCCCATATCGCTTTATGATCACTAAAGTAGGTCTCCAGAACACCAGAATGAATTTCTTCATTCATCAAGTTCGTATGTAAATGATCAATTGTTGTTCTATTATCTGTTGTAAAGTCTGTTATTAACTGGTGGTAATTGTTTTCTATAATCATTAGGTTACAGAGGGATTGACGGTCTGATTTCACCATCCAGTTTACATTAAAGTCTCCGATCAATATATTTTGTGAACAGGAGTATTCGTCAAGAATTGTTCGAAGAGCAGAAGGTAGGCGTGATAAGGGACCGCTCATTATTTATTGTACAGGGGGGGGACTGAGGAGAAACTCTACAGTTATAATATTTTTTCGTTGCCCCCCTCTTAAGACAAGTAAAATTTTCAAAGCCCCCCCCC